ATAAGGAATTTAGGTGGCTGGCTCAAGAGCATGTAACAAGTCATTGGCATGGAAGGTTTAATAACATTCCCTCATATTTATGGAGGGCCTCAGATCCTTCAGAATGTTTTCACAGCAATTCTTTACTCAGACCCTCAGAACAACTCAGAGAAAGAGGGAATTGGGCAACCATAAGCTCCACTTTAACAAATGGATAAATGAATTATGGAAGGCTTGGATGATCTGCCCATGGTCAAAGGACAGGTATATAATGGAGGCCAGCCAGGATCCCAGGAAGTATTCTGTCCACTTCACCTCCCAGCCTTGAGCCAAACACCAAACTGAAGTAGACCAAAGACGGCAGCAAGCAGAACGCAGCTCATCAATTCTAGTTTCTAACAACTTCCTTCTTTTTTCTCTTCTCTTTATCCTGTCACTCTTAGGTCCATAGGAACTGGCAGAACAAGACTGATTTCAAACAATTGAACCATACAGAAGGAAAGAAGGAGAAGATCTTCCTTACTTAATACAAACCTTGATTCTCAGTCTCTAGATTTTCCTTTTTCTGGCTGAGATTCAACATGTACTGGATTGTAGTTGTAGGATGAGGGAAAAGGTTGAAGTTCAAAAAAGCTTTAAAATAAGTTCTGTTGAAATGATCATGAAAAAAATACCATTTTTATTTTGGCAAATATAAAATTTCCAAACTTACATTCAAAGGCCACCAAAGATACAGGAGCAAATACTACTCAGCCATAAGAAACGATGAAATCTAGCCATTTGTGACAACAGGGATGGACATTGAGGGTATTATGCAAAGTGAAATAAGTCAGAGGGAGGTCAAATACCGTATGATTTCCCTCATTAAGTAGTAGATAATAACAACAAGAAACAAACACATAGAGACAGAGATTGGATTGGTGGTTACCAGAGGGGAAGGGGGGAAGGAGGAGGGCGAAAGGGATAATTCGGCACATGTGTGTGGTGATGGGTTGTAATTTGTATTTGGGTGGTGAACACGATGTAATCTATGCAGAAATAGAAGTATAATGATGTACACCTGAAATTTATACAATGTTATAAACCAATGTTACTGCAATAAACAAAAAATTAAAAAAAAAATAAAGATACAGGAGCAAAGATACCAGATATAAATAAAATTAACCAGAACATTTCGGCCGGCCCCGTGGCTTAGCGGTTAAGTGCGCACGCTCCGCTGCTGGTGGCCGGGGTTTGGATCCCGGGCGCGCATCGATGCGCTGCTTCTCTGGCCATGCTGAGGCCGTGTCCCACACACAGCAACTAGAGGGATGTGCAGCTATGACACACAACTATCTACTGGGGCTTTGGGGGGGAAAATAAAAAAATAAATAAAATCTTTTTAAAAAAAATAAAAAACAGAACATTCATTTCAACTGTCTAAAATCATAGAAACAAAATACAAATTGTAATTACTTAAACATGGTAATAAAAGTAAAACTATTGGATAATGGAAACACTAGTCTTATCTATAATAGCTAGAATTTAAAAAAAACTTTTTTCTTTAAAAATTAAAATTTATAATTGAAGTTGTCTTGTTTATTGTTTTCTAATATATAAAACTTTGATGTTAACATGTCTTTTATTTCAGAAAAATGAAACCAGAAACACCATTTCAATGAACACGCTATTCAATAATCAAGTGCCCTGAAAAAGAAATAATACAAAGTCTTCAGGATTTAATTCGTATTCATTATCCTACCTCATCTTGTTGAATTTTGACAGTCACTGGTAAAGTTAAATTTAAGAGACAGAAAATTAAAAAGTAATGTCAGAAATCATAAATTTTAAGATTTGGAGACTTTACTAATATTTCTCTTCTGTGAAATGAAGATAATTATAGCAGTGTCCCCATAGTATTGTTCTGTGGACTACATGTCAAGTGCCCAAAGATTACACGTCAAGTGCTCAGGTCTGTGAATGGCACATAGCAAGTGATCACACATGTTAGCTGTTACTCATCAGCACCATCATGCCAGTGTAAAATACTGAAATATTTCTATACCAGTCGGCAAACAGCTGTTGCCCCCAAGATCTCCCCCACCATGGCTCTGGTAGCCTCTCCCTGCACCAGAACTCCTACCCCCCCACCACCACATACCATCTCCTGATCCAGCCACGAAAGAGTTCATTGGAGGCTTTCAGAACCTGTGCTATTTGTTAGTACCTCTACAGTTGGGTTATTAAATATTTTGAATATTATTCCTGGTTATTTTTACTACTTATTGAATGTGGGTCAGCCAGCCAGAAGTCAAGAAGAGCTAAATAAACATTGGATAAGGCAAAATCACGGATAAGGCAGGTTAGGTTGGACACTATAAATCGAGGTAGCAAAGTAAGTCTGAAGAGTCATTGGTGTCAGAGTCTGAGGTAGTATCTGGAAAGTCCCTAAGACCTGTTATCCAAGCCCAAGCCTGTATTCTCAACAACCAGAAAGAGGATTATCTATGGCCATAGTGTCTCCCACATCTATCCAAAGGTTTTTGTTGCCTTTTGGGGCCTACCTGCTCAACATCTGTCCCCATTTGTCTCCCCACCATACCACACATGTATACCTCAAGAGCTTTAGAACTACTAGGGTGCTTAATTGTGCATACTAAATAGCAGAGGCCCATTCGCTCAGAAAGGCCAAATAATCTAGATGCTCTGGACACCCATACCTCTCTCTTTGCCACTGCTAGTACCTACCAAGGAATGGTACAGAATCTTGGTTACAGAAACCTGACATTACCATGGGGTATGTCATACTGTGACTAAAGTAATAGCCAAAAAACTCAACTGAAACCCTACAAACCCTGTGATAACTCCAACAATTAAGATTTTGATATATCACCTTCCAACGGTCTTATTTCCATTAGCAGAAATAAACACTGTTAACATTTTGGTTTATAATCTTGCAGTAGTTTTCTTCTATGAATATTTATACGTATTTACTTTTTAAAAACCAAAATATGATATATAATATTCTCTTTTCTAACTTGCTTTCTTTCTACTCATGATATAAACATCATTCTTTGTCAATAAATACAGTTCTACAAAATATATATATATATTTTGTGTGTGAGTGATGAAGATCAGCCCTGAGCTAACATCCATGCCAATCCTCCTCTTTTTTGCTGAGGAAGACTGGCCCTGGGCTAACATCTGTGCCCATCTTCCTCCAC